CTAGAGTAGATAAATCTTCAGGAAAGGTCTCGATATAAATTATATTCCCGATTATTTTCCATTGTTTCAATTCATGAATTCTAATATTAATTTTTAAAGGTTAGAAGCTCTTGTTCTTCGAGTCCAAAAACCTGAGTCGGGAGTCAGGAGGGTGCTGCATGATTTGTACATATTTGAGAAATTCTGAATATTTGTATGGAGCATGCATTTACCCAACTCGATGACACTGCCACCATTTGCGCGGGAAAATTCATGGTCCAAAGTTCGTGTTCTGCCCTCTCTTCCAGCAGATCAAGAAGGGTCTTCAACAGCTCAAGACATTATCACGGACATAGGAGAAAAAAACTTTTTGTCTTCGGTGATGATATTTTCTACTAGGGTCTCGAATTCTCCCATCTGATGACGGTATCTGTGTACAGGACGTACCTACCTACCGTACCTGCAAAAAAGCAAAAGTATTGCTGCACGAGCTCTCAAATTGTACACAGTCATATTTGATTTCGCTTGGGAGCTCTGCCATCAGTGTGGAAGATGCTTCGCAGACTGTCGCAGCACTTCGCAGTCAGTGTGCATTGGCCTTAAGACGATTGCAATCCGCCATTCGCAGGCAGAGCTTCGTCCTCAGGAAAAGGAGCACGATGCTCATTCTTCCTTCACAAGAGCCGTCCCCCGCAGTCACGACAAGGAGTGCAACATTTGTCGTGCATGGTGAAGCGTGTCTCAGTACTACATAAGTAGAAATGAGCAGGACCATGCACCGTTCACTTGGCCGTCTGCCGCACGAAGCGACACCTAAGTGACAAACCAATGAAAATCGCGGGGGAGGACGAACCCAATCGAAAGGAAAGGGCACTTTGGGACCGGAGAGAAAACACGTTCCGCAGGTAAGTGGGAGTTTACATTAAAAATGACATGAAAAGACGAAAACTAATAAAAAAAAGAAACATGGGAAAGATGGAACTCCGAGTAGGAACAACGCATATGAGGTTCGATGAGTTGAGGTCCAAACCTTTGTTTGCATCGTTGATGCGTTGGTCTCTTAGCTAACGGCCAAACGCGATTCTACCGCAGTAGAGTCACGCGAGCGGGAAAAACTCGGCCGGGAAGGGATTGAGGAATGCAGATTCGAACCTAACCGTCACGTGTTCATGCTTCTAAGCAATGTTCATACCCCAAAATCGAGACGAAATGTTCAACGATATCGGTTGAGTGCACGAAAAGCCTGCTCGTGTTGCACACCGACCACGTTCCTTCGTTCTGTAATGACGACCGAAGGAAGCTGAAAATATCCCTGTCTCTCTGGAATGCCGTATGACAAGGAACTAAATGTGCACACAATGCAGGGCTGGTGTGTGTGTGGCATTCGAAATCGAATTTCCAAGTTAAGCAGAGAACCATTGCACCTGCTTTGTTCTTCCACGTGCGGTTCAACAACTCCGCGTGCAATTTTCAATCCAAATAGACATCCATATTATCCATTATCATTATGTCAATTATGCGTAACTAAGAATTCACATCTACAATGACTTCCATGCGGAATTCTGCTTATATGTGACGCGGCGCATTCCACTTTGTGACTTGAGCGCAGCGTCATTTTTTTGCACTCACGTCCTTTACTTTCAGTTGGTGCAAGTACGGTGCAGGGTGCACTCGATTCCACTTTGGTGGAACGTATGCGCCTGGTTTGCAGTGCCGACACCATCATCTCTCGCGTCAACCCGATCTCAACAGGTTCCCAACAGTTGAAAAACGCTAGCTCACGTCACTTTCGCAAATTCGCAAATGAGTCGTTTGAGGAAAGGGAATGGCAACGCGAGCAGGAATGGAGATAAAGGACGGCCTTCACCCCCATTTGGCTGGCTTCACGGTTTTCTGCTTTGCAACACGGTTTTTGCATTCGTGACTACGATGATAATTACGACTCTCTTTCACATTGTGCTGCAGATACTGTCACGAAGAATAGGGTGTTGGGAGAACGCTCGACATGAGGTCACAATCCACACATGGGGTGAATACAGCGATTCGATATTTTCTGTGCTGGTGCAAGTGTTGGGGGGGGGGGGGGGGGGGGGGGGGGGGGGGGGGGGGTTCTTCGTGACAGTATCTGCAGCACAATGTGAAAGAGAGTCGTAATTATCATCGTAGTCACGAATGCAAAAACCGTGTTGCAAAGCAGAAAACCGTGAAGCCAGCCAAATGGGGGGGAAGGAGGAATAGGGGAGGGAGGAGGAATAAAGGGGGAAGGAGGAATAAGGGGAAGAAGAATCCGACCATAAATCGGAATTCTCATTTCACTCTTTTCACTCTTTCTGCCTTCGTGTTTCAGAGGTTCCAAATTGCACGTTTAGTGCAAGCCTATAATGAATTTCTCGGTGAATATTTTTCAACAAAGTCTCCAGTTTCTATATCAAATTTGCGAATACTGACCAAGTTCAAAGCAAAGGTTTTTACGCAAATGTCGACATAAACACACGCACGCAAACATCTCGACGATTTCATGAGGAACCACATTGCTCTTCCAAAGAAAAGAGCCACGCTAAAAAAAAAGAGACTGCGTCTCTCATCTTGGTTTATCCCAGATCAACGCGCGCATGAATGCGCTTTCGTTTTGCGCCAGTAGCAGAAGAAAGAGAAAACTTTACTGACTTGCATGATATCATTAATGAGGTCCTCGTCCACAGCCGATAAAGTCGAGTGTGCATTTATATAGATGCTTTCACGTCGCCGAGGCTGCCTCGAGATCCCAGATAGGGAGAGATTTTATTTATTGTTTATCAAGTCTCGACAGAGGACCAGGGTTATCATTTTTCCAAACCAACAGCTCTCTACCGCACGATCAGCTAAGCGATTCAGGCACACTCTGAATCTCGGCAATATTCGTAGCCCATTCCGGCAGAGTACGTGAAACGGAGCTACCACGTTCAAAGCACGGCGCGACGCGAACGTAATAATTATGTGCCTAGCACGGAAGCTGATTCAGGACCTATTACAGCTAAATTTTTTCGCAGTGTGCGCCTCCTCATATATCATGCTCGGCCGGAACAAATAGGGAAATTTTCACTTTATCTAACGCACGGCGTAACGTTAGATGTTGCAGGGTTGGACAATCACGCTAACTCCGTGATGGAGAGGGGAGTGTTCGCCGCAGTTTGACCGCGGGGAAGTGAAAGCTATCTTAGGAATCATGTCACACTTCCCTCTTAGACCACCTGCGGAAGTCTCGCAAGCATTGGGAGAGAAGTCATGCGTTACTCGACTTGCGATCTGTCTTTTTTTTCTCCGGAAAAGCTGTCAACCCCGAGAAACTCGCAGGACGGCGTGAGAAACCGGCGACGACCTCGATTCGATTGTCTCCATGATCTAAGCCATAGCCCAACCATAAAGGCGAGGGAATTTAGGCATATGCAAAAAATGTACCTCAACGATTGCGTGGCTTACGTGCGCCGGTGACACGGCCTGACGATTTTAATGCGTAGCAGCCCTCCTGATCGAGTCTGTTTCCGTCCTTGTCTCAGTCCCATCCTCTAGAGAATTCCACAACCTGAACGCACCATTCGGAGAAGGGAACCGAGGTGGAGATAGAGACGGATCAGCTCCCAGGCGTTACGATTCTCTCATTACCGAACGTAAAAAAGGTAGACGGACCCACGGGAGACATCTAGTGCGAGCGGAGTGAACTTCTCAAGTGGATGGTATCTCGCGGGTGTCAAGTGCCTCTCCTCAGACTCTCGCTTTTTTTTCTGATCAGTTTCTCCGCACCGGGGAGGGAGGGCTCCCTCTCAGCCCAGCCATGCTCAGCGGTGGAGAGTGCTGGATTTTGATCATCGATGAAGTTCCTCTGGATGATGCATTGAAAAGCACGGAGTGAAGAGAATTTAACTCAGCCGTCTCGCTTTCATCGCGCCCTTTTTGAATTTTTTTTTTCGGGCGCAGACGGAAACCATCATATTGATCACACGTTATAATGTCATCTTCATCGCGTAAAGCATGGCTCATTTAAAAATGCATTGAGCACTGTCTAAGCAAAGGAGAACCAAATGAATTATGAACGTCTGGAAAAGCGAAGATCTTCCTCAACATTGTGGGGGTTTAGCGGCTTCAACATCGAGTTGTCAAATGCTTGCCTCAATTTGTTCCTTCAGCGACTGAATTCAATGAATTTCTCGCTTTCCAAGGACGGTCATTCTTTTGCATGTAAAATTTCGAGTTCTTTCCCATTCTCGTACCCTGCAGCAAAATCCTCGTTGAATGAGGAATTCGGAACCCGTTAAAATAATCACCCATGAAAGCCATCATGCCGTTATGGTAAGTCGGTGCAGATTCCCCTGTAAACCACACCTGCTCCGAATTCACTATTGCTCGTTCTCTGTATACGGGGAGGAAGATTCTCTATTCAAGACTCCGGAAAGTACGACGCGAGAAGACAAACGCCAAACGGATCCCCGATTTGAAAACGTCATCGTCATCACTCCGTTAACGGAGTGGAACGACGGGACGTTCACGAAACGTGAAATAACAGAAAGGATGTTATCGAGACGGTCGTTCTTCGTCACTTCTTTTCTTCTCTTGCTGACTGCGCATAAAATAGAATGAAAAATACCACGGTCTATTTTTTTTATGGGAAAAATTCGATTTCGTGGCCCACCCACGACTGTGGCTGAAAGCAGAATTTGCTCCCCACAGGCCGAATAATCTGAAAAAAGAGAATTTCCATTGAGAATTTGTCCTTGGGTTGCCCTTGTGCGTCGCCCTTTTACTAATTGGCCAGCTGAAAGGAAGGTTCGCATTCTCTCATTTCGTTTCCAACTCTTTTTGGAGCCGTCATGCTCTCTTTTTTTGCCCATAAATGTTGGGATTGCGTCAGTGCTAGCCAAGCTCAAGATGAGGCATGGCTGGAGTTGCTCGCTTGCCCAGGATGCTCAGTCATGTGACTGTGACGAGGCGGATTTCGTCCTAGAAAGTCCTTCATGACGTCGGGCTCCAGTTCTGCTCGCTGTTATCTGGGGATTTCCACTCTCGTTCTTTTGAGCAGAGACGGGATCGATTTTCATCCGTGTGTCCACCGAAGTTGGATGTTCGTTCGACGTCTCCGGTTGCGTGAGCACGTGCGTATAGGCTACTTTATTGGTTATGATCGAAGGTGACACGCGGAGAATGATTTTTTTCCTCTCTTCGTACCAGTTGGAGAGACTTCCTGCAGGGAAATGTGACCTGTTTATTTGCTGCCCCTCTCGTATGCGAGGCCTCTACATTCGATTGTCTTATCTAAAAGGCCTGTTATCGGAGAACAAAAAAGAGAGAGTGTGGTAAGATGGTTTCTATGAGGCATTCAGTCCCTTTTCAGCTCCGTGATCACGGGATTATAGGATGAAAGTTCCCGAAGGCTTCAAGTCCGGTTGGGGACTCCAAATCCACGATCCATCCGTCTTTTCCAGATCTCAGGTAAACAGAATGAGTCAACTTCGATATGGATGATGTTTTGCATTCTTTTTCTTGTCCTTGAGAGACCTGCGATAGGCCGATCGTCATACCCGTTGCCCTAGCTAGATTTCTTTTCGTCTCTTCGAAATCATTAAATTCATTCCAGAGCGCTTTTTTTTTCATGCTCTTAAGCCTCACTTCTACCTATATGCAAGAGAAAAAGAAATTGCTCGTGTGTCCTTCCTTCTCCATTATTTTTTTATTTTTGGCGTTTTAGTGGGATGGGGGTCACCAGGCCTCCCTCACCTATCTGGTGTTCCGGCTCCTATTGGCAGGCTATTTCATCGCCACTGAGATTTACTTCATCTACTACATTACTCCGAGTTTTTTCTTCATTTACCTCACGGACCTGGCTTATACTCTCCTGGTCATCGATGCCTGCCTTCATGCTTACAATGCCTACAAGAGTAGGCGGGAATCCTCGAGTAGGAAATTATGCAATAATGGTCGAAACCCCAAATATTCCTTGAACATCAACGAATTTGCTGTTTTTTGATTGAACACAGTGGAACCGAAACAGAGGGCAGTGTACCAGGTGACCTGGGTCTTCATGTCCATCGCATATTCTGTGGGGATACTCGTCACCATTTTCTACTGGATCTTCTTGTTCGGAGAAGGTACCACTGAGGAATTTATGACGAAGGAATGATATTAAAAAAGTAATCCTCATAGATGGTTGAGATGATTCATTCCCTGATTATAAATTTCTTATCATTGTTCTTGGTTCCGCAAGATTGGTCTCGTACCTGTACCTCATTTCGTCCTGTACTGGGATTAATAATCTTTTTTTTTCCTACCTATTTAGAATCGGAATTTCCGCTGGGATTCGACATACAAATGCACGTCCTTAACTCCCTCTACATCGTCGTGAGTGCGGCGACAATGGCAGCGCCGATTCAACTCAAGCATATGTATCAACCAGTTCTGTTTATGTTCCTCTACGCCGTCTTCAGCATTATTTACTGGGTCGCCGGTGGCGTGGATGAGCATGGAAGTCCCTACATCTATCCCTTTCTTTATTGGCTCCACTTCGGAACGGCCTTGAAATATTCCGCGATCGCCACCGTTGGTATGATCTTAGCCCATCTCATCGTCTGGGGCATCTGCAAACTTCGTTGCCGAATCGCGCACAGTGTTATCGGTCGCATCTACCGAGTCCACTCTGTCATCGTCTAGTCCCTCCAGTGCAAACCGGCCTTGAATCTCTTCTATATAAGTTCATAATGTATTCATTTCGAAAACAAGTTATGTTTCTTTTCTTTATGAAATCGGGAGAGCCGACGACAATTGCAAGGACGTACTTGTTCTTGCTCGGTCTGGGAAGAATGAGGTATTGAGAATGGAGAGCTACAACTCCAAGACCCAGCAAGGTGCAAGACGGAACATCCTCGTGATCTCACCGAGGATGTCATGGTGGCGATAGGGAAAAAGGAAGACGACGCCGGGGATCATGGGCCGAGCCAAGAGGACACCCTCGGATACGAGGAGTTATACAGGAACGCGACCCTAGTATCTCAATCCTGAAGATAACGACATTGGCCAGGAATATCTCCCCCGGACAGGTATAAGAACGACGTCAGGTGTTTCCGACCCCCCCCCCCCCCCCTTCTACCCCCTCCTACTCCTCCACCCGTGCAGGAATGAGGGAGTGAAGATGTATCTACAGTATGGTAGCTCAGATTCGGTCACGTGGAGACAGCAGTAGCGATAACTGAACGAGTTGCAATCGACATGGAAGGAAAAGATTCTAATCCAGATTCTTTCAATGGCCTGTGCTCGATCATCTCAGAATTCAATAAGTTTTCCATGCAGTAGTACTGTTGAAAATAGTTCATTGCCAAAACGTGGGGTGTATACATTAAACGGGAGTTTAATGTAGATCCAAAATGGGCATGGAAAGTTTATGCATTGAGTAACCAATAGCAAAATGATTATGAGGCGTTGCCTTGCCTTGCTTGTTTAATGCCTTGTTGTGCATCAAATGTAGATTCGACCACATTCCACCTTAATTTCGCCAATCTTGTAACTAAGGTCATTCCACCTCAGCCATGAAAAAATCTAGAAATTTTTGTGCTCGACCACATCAGAATTCAATGAAATTCCAGCTCATGGAAGAAATATGGCAAAAGACAATACAGTTTAAAATGTAACTCTACATTTAATGGATGTCGAGTTCGAAGTTCGGCCCTGCAAATATAAACCCAAAGTCCTTAGAGATTCAAGTCCCCCTTTTTTTGTCGGACAGTTGGGTCAAAAATTCAATTGAATTGTAAGATGATTGAGCGCAAAGCCTCCCAAATATTGACACGCTTGAGTAGGAATTATTCACTCCGAATGTTTTGCAACAATTTTCAAGGGGCTGATGGAAGAACTAATCCATTGCTAGAGGAAAGGTAAATTCATCCATCATTTTTGTGTTCCTTCAGACATGACACGGAGAGGCTGAATTACAATATGCAGTCGCAAAGCAATGATCACTGAGTTAAGATTAAGTGAATGCTCATGGATTCTTCAAACATTTATATTAATGGGTTTATTATATTTATATGATATGTCATTTATAATAATGAGCATTGGCCTGCAAGCATATTATTCTCTTTTTGCAGGACCTTTTTGAAGCAAGTTCAAACTCACTGGTCTTAAAATAGAAAATTAGAAAAAAAGTTACTGACTCGTTCGATCTCGTGAACTTGAGAACGAGATCGCGCTGGCTCGTTCTCAGTTATACCTAGGTTTGAAACAAGATTAGAATAGATAAAGTTGGGTTGAAAGCGAAGCCCCGAATAATGGCGGTTCTCACCCTAGGGCAATTCACGCCACTGATAAACACCTGTACCGACTGCTCACCCCTGGTTTTCCTCCAATGCTGTGCGATTTGAAGCATTGTGAAGTCCACATTTCGTAACCAATCGCTCAGAAGAAATTTTTCCTTGACTCGCGGAAGGGAATGCATGGAATGGGAAAGAGGCGGAGAGGATACGGTACTGAAAAGCTCAAGGGGGAAGCGGCTGTAGCGAGAAGATAATATTTACGAAAATATTTTACATGGGTATTTTGTCCTTTTGAAATGACAATGAAAATATGCGCTCCTCGTCAGACTTCCTCGTTCTGTGCTGTTCCCAAATCAGAGGAAGGAAGCTTCTTTGTCACGGTCGCGGCAAATCACGCGATTTTCATGAGCATCATGATATTCCCTCTTACCACCTCAACAAATGGTCTTTTTCAATTTCTTTCTCACTCTCTTGTTCTTGCTGAGCAACTCAGAATTTATTAAGCGAATCCGAACATCTGCGTTATTGCAACTATTTCGGGTACCCGATGATTGAGTTGGAGTTTCAATTGGATCATCAAGAAGATGGACTCGAAAGATGATAATCGACGGCAACCGGGTCGTTTTGGGATCCCTCCCTTAGTCCACTTCAGAAATCAATATATTCTTAGCTTTTTCATCAGATCACCTTGGTATTTCTTAAACCAGGATCCTTTGAAACGATTAAACGTAATTTTCTCTCCGTCAGCTCCAAAATCATGTGTGCTTTTGCTGGCGGCGGCTGCACATGCAATCGGCATCTTCGAGTGCTATGAACCTGACAGCGCCACACTCAAACGATACAATCGTGCAAGCACAATATAATGTATGATAGGTACGCAAGAGCAATGTAATATATCTGATTGGAAAGAAAGTTCTCGGAATTTCATGAAGCTCATGAAAATCGCGTGAATTGCCGCGACCGTGACAAAGAAGCTTCCTTCCTCTGATTTGGGAACAGCACAGAACGAGGAAGTCTGACGAGGAGCGCATATTTTCATTGTCATTTCAAAAGGACAAAATACCCATGTCAAATATTTTCGTAAATATTATCTTCTCGCTACAGCCGCTTCCCCCTTGAGCTTTTCAGTACCGTATCCTCTCCGCCTCTTTCCCATTCCATGCATTCCCTTCCGCGAGTCAAGGAAAAATTTCTTCTGAGCGATTGGTTACGAAATGTGGACTTCACAATGCTTCAAATCGCACAGCATTGGAGGAAAACCAGGGGTGAGCAGTCGGTACAGGTGTTTATCAGTGGCGTGAATTGCCCTAGGGTGAGAACCGCCATTATTCGGGGCTTCGCTTTCAACCCANGAACTTGCTCCTTAGTAAGAGGGTAGGGCTGGTTCATGGCTGGAGAGCACCAGGGCTGTAATAATATACGGTTGTATGCCGAAGGACACGACCTACTTATAAACACACGCAGAACATTCTAGCATGCTCTGGAAAAAAATTGTACTGGATATTCAAGAAATTCCGAGAACTTTCTTTCCAATCAGATAGCACGAAAAGAACAGACTAATATTGCCTCAGGCGGAATAGAAAAAAGATTTTATCAATAAGCTAAGGAGAGCAAGAATATATGGTCTATCTGGTCCAACTTTGCTAAGCCGGTATTGTCTGTTTTATGGTAGCTCATTAATTTTGTGCTGTCAACCGCTCGTCAAAATGTCGGAAAGGGGCTGGAAGCTCTCAGTGGCGGACCTACGTGTTTGCACTCGTCATGCATTTTATCAAGATTTCTAAAATACATTATGCCTGCCCCCTTCCCCCAGGCCACTGTCTGGCGGAGGGGTCAAAGGGGATGTCACATCTCACCTCACAAAGGAGAAAGACAGATGACATTTGAGGCGCCTTTTGAGGATTAAAAGTGTAGCAAAGGTGGACCGGATAGACTATACCAGTGACGTCATTGCCTTTTGAGTCCTATCCTCCGCTGGGATGTAGCCTAACCTCGTCTACTTTTATAACCTGAAGATAGACCTTTGAGTACCTGTTTCCGGTTGCGTACCTGCGATGGACTTCCATTTCGCTCCCAGGCGAAACAGACCACCTTGCAGGTGAGAGCGAAAAGAATGCAATGAGAAAAGTGCAAAAGCTTCACAGGTCTGTGAACTGTGACAAAGACACAAGCCACGTCCTTCATCTTCATATCCTGCATATTTGTGAACGTTACTGGAAATCTGCAAATCAAGAGAGAAACGTCGATGGTTATAGGGCTTTTTCACCGACGTCACAAGATGACGTTTAACAGAGGGGCGGAGCGAACATCCGCCATGCTGGAGTACAGGAGAGCGGGGATTTCGATTGATATGTTTATGTCATGGGTGTAGCCTCATCAAGTCTGCATCAGGAATACCAGTTTTTCCGCTTATTTTGAGACGCTGCAAGGCACGGCAAAAGACCCCTATCCGGAGAAGATGAAGATATGCGAAGACACTGATCCTTACGCGCTGAAGCCCTGTGATGGTCTGGTGGATTTTTCAACGGAAAATCATGGCGTTAAAGGGTTGTTTCGAAAAGAGGGCCTATGAAGGAAGAGACTCCACAGAACTGAGCCCACGATATGATAGGAAATTCCAACTACAATATTCTCTTCTCTCTCCCGCTTAGAGCATCACATGCCATCAAATTCAGGTCTTACCTTCTCACTTGAGGCCTTAAGAGACGACCCGATCTAGAATCCTCTGACGAGGACACCTGGTTTGGGCTGCCTTCCTGATCATGGATTTAGATCTAGGCCTGTACGGATACCGCACAACCGATTGGAGAAACAGCATACATAATCATTTTTGCAGGTCCGTCACTCTCAAAGACTCAGGGAACCACCTTTGCAAGTGTGGGTACTTCCTCAGACCTGGATAGACCAGATAAATTCATCATAGTTGAACAAAATATCATCGTCGTTCTTGCCAAACGTAGTCTGCCTGTACCCCAGCATGGCGCGGAGACGGTGTCTCCGCTGTGACGTGACGTGAAAAAGCCCTATTAGTTCGCTTTGTACTTGGCCCCACTTCTTTGTAAAATTCAGGAGATATGTTTAAATGTAATCGGAAAACGCCATTTTTTTAATATAAATATATATATATAATGCAATATAATAGAAGAAAATAAAGAAATAAAAATGAGATCTACATGTACTTTGCTTTCTGGGACAGAGAGGACGTGAGCAATGAGAACGATCTTGAAAATAGCTCTCTTCTTCCCGCGAAGGGACTTTTAGTCCCGTTACCTTAACACCTTTACCGGTATACCCGAGAAATTCTCTGGCTTCTCCTATAGCGTGTGAGAAAATCTGCTTGTGAAGGGGTTAGACACCTCAAGCAGCTAAGAGGAATAAGAACTGGCTCTATATTTTCATATACGAGTGTATCTACTCTGTCTATATTATTCCCTCTTG